AATGAGGGGGGGGGGGCATAAGTCGTATTACTCTTCGGAAAATATAAACAGTGGTTAAACATAACTAAGCATTGCCCTAGAACGCTGATTTTCTGCATGCGAACTCACTAATATGTATTGTAACTGCAAAGTGCAATTTCAAACCGATCGGAGCAAATATGCGCGTTTTTGCTGTAAAATACGATTTTTTTCACATTTTCACTTTACACCGTTAAATGAACTTAAAATTGCATCAAAACGCGATTAAACAAGAAATCACTGAAAATGCGCCCTAGAGCCTCAAGTCCCCCCACGCGCGCGCAATTAAGAAGAAATGAAAATAAATATTTTTTAATTCAAGTTGGGCCAAATTCAGAACAAAAGTAGCATGCAATATATCAAACTACAACGGTAAATTGGGACACGGAATTCATTTCCGAGGTCTGACCGGCGTGCTAGTTGTCACATTATGGGTCATTTTACTACAAGTTTTACATGCCGTATTTCAATTTATAGGTAGTTGGGCACAAGGATTCCATTTCTTGGGTTAAAAAATCTTTTGACCACTCTGATCGGCGCGCTAGTAGCCTACAGTTACATTATGGGTCATCTTACAACAGATTTTGCATGTTGTATGTCGATTTATTGGTAATTTTAAGTTCATTTAACGGTGTAAATCTGTGCAAACGTGAAAAAATCGTATTTTTTAAAAAAAGCGCTCGCGTGCGCACATTTTTGAAATTGCATTTTGCAGTTAAAAATATTGCACAGATATTTACAAGAAAAATTAACATACTTTCAAGAAAGGTTTGTTAGTTTTGTTATTTTCAAGGGATTGAAAATCATACACAATTTATCACACAATAAAATTCTTCTATTTTTAGACTGCTGCAAACCTCTTGTTAGACAGCCTGAAATTCCTGTTTTTCCGAAGTTTGAAAAAAGTAGGTCATTTAATATTAATTACTATAGAGGCTTTGAGTGGAGAGGTTTGAAAAAATCAACCCAGTAAATAAGAAAAAAGTCATTTAAAAGAACAAAACTTTAGTCTCTCAATAACTTACCATAAAAATCACTAAGAAGTTTTGTGTTTTGTTAATTCTTAAACGGAAATATAAATAAATTTGAACCCTGTTTCCTTTGCCAATAGAAACTTACCATCAAAACTTTAATGAAATGTCTTTTCACAATGGTGCTTTCGAAGCAAATGTCAATTAGAAAAATTAAACTATTTAAAATTTCTTTTATATTGTCATTAATTTGCATTGCGTGTATTCAATATGCATGTTATGTTGCCACTCGAGTTCCTCCATCTTAACCAAAAACTTATCATCCTTTTCATTTTCCTAGGATCCCTGGAGGACCTTGGAAACTTCTTCCCACAACAAAATTTCAGTAAATATATCATTTATAAAAGTTTGATGTTTTTCTTTGTTTTTTGATTCTTTGAAATAGCATATTCTAGTATAGTTTGTAGTTCAACAAAAACTAAAAGTATAGCTTTGTATAAAATGAACATTATTTAAGTGAGTTTTTAAATTTCAAATTTAATAAATATGCCCAGCAGGTTTTATGCAACAAATATAGGCTGGCAAGATCTACATGTCCCAGGTTCTTAAAGGAATTGTGTCTCATCCAGAACCTCAGATTTTCTAGTTTCTATATCTTTGCAAACTCACAGCGTTAACTTTTGGTATTTCAAACGTAGATTATTTTATCTAACAGAAATCATACTTTAAAATATCTAAGGACGTTTACGACATTTGGTTGCAAAGCTATAAGGATTAGAAACTCATAGTTTTGGCGAAGACTCAATCCTTGAATCGAGTGGGCAAAATTTCACCTCGTACAATTTACATTATAATTAGCTTTTGAATGTTTGTATAACTTTTTAGTGTACTTTTTATTTCTTATTAAACTACAAGAAATTCAAGCTAGGTTTCTTCCCTTAGAGAATAGAATATATAGAGAGGAATTTACTAGAAAAAAGTGTAAAACGGCCATTTTGTTGTACTGTTTCCATACTGCAGGTGTACTTCACATATTTATGCTATATAACCTGTTGGGCCCGGGAATATCATTTTATAGAAAATCTAAAATTATTGTTAAAAGAAAACCAAATTATGAAATAGGCTGGTTT